GTACAAGGATGAATCATCAATGAATAGCTCAACAATACGGCGTGAATGATCTGAGTGCAGACGTGCACCACAGTTATCGGGATAGCTTTCACTTATGTGACGAAGAAGTGTTGAACGGTTTTCGGTGCGAGAAGTGAAGTCAAAAAACAAACTCGGGCACGAAGCAGGGGATCCACCAACTTTCCACACATTGGAATGGGTGGTTTTGTCAAGTGCATTGCTGGTCAAAGATTCTCGAATTGCAGTAGGACGTTGAACGCGAGCAGCTCTCGCATAAGATATAGGTGGTGTACTAGATTGGGTGCCTGTTTCCTTATCAGGCGATTTGATTGAATTCGCGGAAGACATGGGTCGACCTCTTCGATGACGACGACAAAAAATATTTTTTGGGCTGTTTACGACATTGAACGCGAAACTTTCACACAAGGTGCTGTTGGCCAAGCCGAGCCTATTGCTCTACTAAAAACCCCACATTTCATTGTAAAGTTTGGAGATACAGGCGTCTTTATGTTTTACCTATGCTCGCTGTAAGCGTGATCAAGTTGCTTTTTCCTAGTGAATGGTGTCGGCTGCATTAACGGAAAGATGGAGAGCTGAGTGAAATGACATGTGGTGGTTACACAAACACGTCCTTGATAGATTGTTGCACAAATGGATGATGATGATGATTGCCTTTTGTGAAGATACGTAAGTAAAACAGCATTCAATAATGAATGTGTGTCAAGGTATGTATCACATTTGCATGTAGAAGAAAGTCGAGCTGCATAAACCAATTTGTATATGTAAAAAGATACATATACATATTGAATGAGTCACTCATCCTGAAACTCAATGGAGGGATCTCTTCTCTTCTCAAGCTCATCCCACTTCCCACTCCTCCTTATTGTATCACAAAGCCATGTACTTCTTGCATGACCGATAACCGGACCACCTTTATTATTCCATCTTCGAAACAATAGTATGTAATCCACAAGCTAGCAACCTCCAACAAGCGTGTAATAAATAAACAATGCTTTATTTCATCTAGCTATCTTGCTATGTACTGTACATTGCCACCACCATCGTCGTAGTCGTCCTCCGTCATCATTCCTACTCGTACTCGTCACCAGTCGTCAATCTCATCCGTCACACCAAGCATCCAAAAAATACACAAGTTGAAAAGAATGGGATCTTGCAGGCTTCCTTTTGAATCTCGTTGTCGTCATCATTGTCATTGTTGTGAATGTCGTTATCATCGTAATCGCCATTGCTGTGTATGTGGTAATCATCGTAATCGTCGTCTCTATAAATAAGAAATCAAGCAAGTTAGACCATACGATGCCGGGAATGATGACGAATTGTTATACCGTTAGGCGATCCTCTCCAAGGAAGAAAGCAAATCAGAAGGAATTCACAAACTAAATCACCACCATACGAGCAACGTCGGGCGATCCCTTGTTCTTGAGAAAGCACTGCACGAATCACGCAAGGCCAGTTCGATCCATGGCAAGGAAGGACATCACTTACGTAGAGTCCAGGTTCATCGTTGTCCTCATTCATCCTCTCCAAAGAAATAATGATCCCCAATCCTTCCCATCATTTCACACCTTATGAAAAGAAATCCTCAAAGGGAAAGAACGAGCCTATCACGAGAAAAGCGTGTTGGTTCACACTGATGTCAACACATTCACAAGCTGTTGCAAATCCCCTTTTACCTCAACACGGTGACCATGCTCTTCCAAAAATCCATCGTCATCGACCCATCCTCAACTCAACGCAGGCCTATAGAGCCCTGGACGCGTTCCAAGAAGCCTTTCCAGCACACTTGGCTAGTGCAGAGCGACGCAGCGGCCACTTGATACAGGCTGGGACTTGAACCCAAAGAGATGATGATGATGCCCCAAGTTGCATTGCCTGACCAAAGAAACCTATTCAATTCATTATTAGCACACACACAATAAAACACCCTTTTCATTGTTTGTTTCATTGTACTTGCCTTTTCCATATACACAAAGACCCGTTGTTGTTGGTTACTGGAAACCCGAAAATCATGGTGTAGTATAGTTGAGCCGAAACAAAACGCCAAACCAGTCAACGTCTTGAAACCAAACTTGCCCTCTATACAAGCTGACGCGTCAATGGAACAAGTTGTGCTGCAACATTGGACTCTGAATGTACCTGTTGACACCAAGCATGGAGCGGGAATAGCAACGAACAGAGGAAACAGCGATATCGCCATGGCAACAACCGATCACCCACCACGCTCCATTCCTCAGCACTTGGACACACTCTCACTCCTTGACAATGCATGTTACCTCACAGTCAACAAGAGCACTCTTTGACAACACATTACCTACCTTGATTGGGATGTCGTGAATGGAATAAGGAAAGGTGGGAGAAAAAGAAGAGAAGCGTTGTCTCAAGTCGTGGAGCTGCTGTCCCCCAAGTTTAAATCCACTTACTACTATTGCACTGAGGCCACTCATCAATTACCCTATACAACACCATCCGCCCATCGTCATCAATACCCTCACGATAGACAATGGATACACGTAAATAAAAGAAATGATCCTCATGTATAGCAAAAGGGTGTGTGCCATTTTACACTTTACATGATGATGATGATCCAACAACAGCCATTGCCTTACTACCAGGTTAGCTCAAATCAAGAAAGTTGAATGATGGGCATGCTGGGCTGGAGCAGGACAATCGTTCGTATGCATTGGATTGGGCAGCAAAGATGAATGGGAGGAATGGGCTATCAAGCGGCAGTTTACAAATAACTTACCAATTTGATTCTTCTGATATTGGATGATGTTTCTGTGTTTGAGCGTTTTTCAGTCAAAGCTCATCGGATCAAGAAAGTTGAAGGATGGGCATGCTGGGCTGGAGCAGGACAATCGTTCGTATGCGTTGGATTGGCAACAATGGATAATGGGAGGACTAAGGTTATTAGCTGGCATTTTGAACTATTCCTAAATGGTGTACAAGAATCATGCATCGATTGTGCTGAATGACTCAAGTTACACAAACGCACCCTCTGCATCTTTTGCTCTATTATAGTCATACTACTTTACATTAAATAAAGACCACTCTTCATATAGCATCACGCTTACAAACATAAAGGTGCCTGTATCTCCAAACTTTACAATGAAACGTGGGGTTTTGAATAGAGCAATGTGCTCGGCTTGGTCAACTGCACCTTGGGTGCCAGTTTCACGATCAAGCTTGCCAATCCCAGATTTCGCAATGTCGCTACCAGCCAAACTGGATCTGGGGGTCGACCTCGACCAAAAAATATTTTTTGGGCTGTTTGCGACATTGAACGCGAAACTTTCACACAAGGTGCTGTTGGCCAAGCCGAGTCCATTGCTCTATTCAAAACCCCACGTTTCATTGTAAAGTTCGGAGATACAGGCACATTTATGTTTGTAAGCGTGATGCTATAAGAAGAGTGGTCTTTATTTAATGTAAAGTAGTATGACTCTGACAGAGCAAAAGATGCAGAGGGTCGTGTTGTGTAACACAGCTACGTTTGCATGAACGAAAAGGTCAATGTATAATTACTTTATGGATCATCTAGGAACAGGCATGTATTGCTAGCTAACGGCCACTTTTATCCAATCATCATTGTTGCGAGATCCACTGCATGGGAACGATGCCCCTGCTCCAGACATTCATTTCCATGATTAAAGTAGGTTGATCCGAGCTGATTTGACTGAGCTGCAGTCAAAGAGAGATTACATCACTCTGGA